ACCTTGGCAAAGCCTTAGCCTGCTTCCATCATTCTGTTGACCTCCCTCTTCACCTACTCTTTTGCAAGTCACTTCCCCTCTCTCCTTCCCTCCCTTCTCCTCCTTCCCTTGAGAGCCATCAAAGAATGTTTCTTTTAGGGTGGAAACCTGTTCACTATCTATAATAGCAGTCTCAAACAGTATCTGTCCTTTTGTGGCTGACGAATGCCACGCAGCATAACGCCCCCCAGGTTCATCCGTGTTTGGGGAGGTATCTTGCAGATTCATCCTTACTCTTTCCTGGGTAACCGGTAGCGTTGAGGAAGCCGACTGCCATATCTCTGTCCCTGGAGCTGCTAGGTTCCGACAGATGCTCCTTCAGTTAGGGTGATGTGCTTAACAGTGCGCCTCAGGGCTCCAAACTCTATGACTGTCAGCATCTATCCTGGGGCTTACCCAAGGCTGCCAGTCCACTTGGGAACAGCAAGCTTCAGGTGCCCTGTGCAGGACACCCACTTCCTAAACGAGTATGTTGTTGTGTGCGGCGCAGGAGGTCTGGGCCTTATGCGTAGTGGATTAAGCGTTGGGCCCCTAACCGCAAGGTCACGGTTCAGAATCACCCAGCCACCGCACAGGAGAACGAGGAAACCTCCTCCCGTGAAGGACAGTCTCGGAAGGCCGCAGGATTAGTTCTCCCCGGTCCTGTAGGGTGCCAGGAGTGTGCACCGACGCCATGCCGGTGAGTTTGGAGGTCTTGTAGGTGCGTGCCATTGAGCTGATGCCAACTCCTACAGCCTTATAGGACCGAGGAGACCTGCCCCGTGGGGCTTCCTTGGCTGAGCTCATCACAGGAGCAGGTCGCCAGGGCCTTTCTCCCCCAGAGCTGCTCCGTGGGTTCAAACCACCAGGCTCAGCCAGCAGCTGCGAGCTTCCCTGTGGTCTGCAGCTCTGACCCATGGGGCTGACTGAGCTGCTGACCCTCCAGCCTGGGAGCAGGCTGGGTTGTTGGTCCAAAGAAAGGACCAGAAAAGCTAGAGAGCAGAGCACCTGCTCTTAGAGCCCTGGGGTGGGCAGGCTGTGTGGGCTGCATTCCTTTCCACTCAGTCTCTCACCAGGCCCCCCCGAAACCACGAGGAAATAGCATTCGTGTCATTGTTTCTGACCTGGAGCAGGTTCCCTTGCAACTCACGTGGCAGGCGCTGTTCTTACGTAACAGCCAGCCAGATTCTTTCCCAGGCTTCTTCCCTGACAGCCCGGCTAGCTTTCAGTCTCCGCTGGGGGCGGAGTTGCCCATCAGGTTTTGGAGAGCATTCCAGGCCTCTGGCTGCTCTCTGAGGTATGCCGTCCCCAAGTTGACTCAGGCTAGCCGTTGTGTTCCTAGTGACTCAGGGACTAAATCATTAACTCGGTGAAATACCTGCAGAGCATGGCTAAGGAGCGCCCTGGCCAAGGGCGGGAGAAGGGGCTTCCTGTCATGCCACAGTGGTGACTGCAGAGCCCAGTCAAGTCCAGCAACTGCTGCATGGCACCGGTGGACCCCGAGACTCACCCAGGACCCACCTATCACCCACCGGAATCAGGAAGCAAGGCAAATCTGTCATTCCTAGGTAATCCGTCACTCCTGGAGTAACCTTCGAAGCATGCTGATGTATTTGCTCAATCCTGATCTTCAAATACGCACATGCACACAACTTTCCATGAGATGGTTTCCACTGGGTCTGGGCACGTACAGGAGCCCCTGGATGGCACACATGGTTAAGCGCCCAGCTACTTACTAGCTGAAAGGGGGGGACTTGGGACACACTCAGAGGCACCTTGGAAGACAGGTCTGGCGATCTGCTTCTGAAAGGTCACGGCCTTTGACCTCTGTCGGAATCAACTCCCCCCCAACTAGCAACATATGCATTTACATGTATGCACCTGTGCTACCTGACTGGGAAATGACACTTTTGTGCACACGCTTACAATGCCAAGCAGTACTTGCAAGGCGATTCCAGGGGGGCAATACTACTGGCAAGGGGTGCTGTGCCTTAGAATAATCAGATCATTATAAAAATTAAATTAAAAAAAGAATAAATCATTTTAAGACCTAGAGGGCAGCATTTACCCAAGGACAAGGTTCAGCAGGGTCAGCAGAGGAGGGATGAAGACGGGAAGTGGAGGGAGGGAAGTGGGCCACGTGACGTTCACGAGTGGGATTTCAGCTGCGGACCCCGACCACGTGCAGATGAAATGTGTGGTTGAATGGGAAACTGATGATCCGCTCTGTTGATCTTCACGCAATCCGCAGTGCAAAAAGACAGACAAGTGAGTCCAAATAACCCCCGCTCCAGGATGGCCGGGGACTGGTAGGTTGTTGCCCCCACGGAAGGGGACAGTTGCAACCCAGTTGCAACACCTACAGGTTCCTCTGGACAGCCGGCCTGGGCGCCCTTCCTCCAGCCTCAGGGTGCTTGGCTCCTGTTCTTAGGGCTGGTGCCCAGTGGGGCTGGCATGTGTCCCCAACAGACGCGCCGCCGGGCCAACGGTGAAGGAAGAAACAAATGGTCAAGGGAGAAGAGCCAGGCACGCAGGAAGAGCGTCCGGGCAGCCAGCCAAATGGGGAAAGATGGAATGGGCCACATCAGCTCCTGAAAGGGAACTCCTCACATTGATACACTCGCTGCTAGGGAGCCAGGGGAATACACCCCCCCCCCCTCCCGCCTTCACCTGAACGGAGCACATGAAGTAGAGCGAATGGTTCATGACGTTGAGGGATGAGACAAACAAGGAGACAGGTGAAGTCACCTGGCCATCCTTCAATCAAGTCGTGCATTTGCAGTTCTGTGTGCCAAGGTGATTTCTTATTCCAATCATGACTACATTTTGTTTGTTTTTTCCTCCCTCCCTCTCTTGGAAGAGTCCTTGTTGAATGTTGATGGGGGAAGAAAAAGATGAAGAGACCGATAATGCTGAAGATGGGGCTATATTTTTCTTTCTCCTTGTAGCTGGGCCAAGACGCATAATGGCTAAGGACGGATAAAATATTTAACAGTGGCTATACATAATTGATTCCTAAGTTGATGTTCATTTGCAGCCCAGTGATTTGCTCGCAATGAGGGGTTCCGAGAACTTCAAACCTGTGTCTGGTTAGCAAGTTGACATTGTGCTTATGTTTTCCTTTCTTTGCTTCCTAAGGGTTTTTTTGGGGTGGGTGGGGGGGGGTTAGCATTTTTTTTATTGAGATTCTTATTCCTCTTCTCTGCCACCGGTGTTGGTGGGTTCAAACTGCTGGGCTTTTTGGCTAGCAACCCAGCACTTAGAGCATGGAGCCCCTTACCACCTCTGAAGCACTTATTTGTACTTGTGCTCATCCATGGGCAACAGCAGTAAAACCTGCAGAAAGAGTTTTCTTTATTTGTTTCTATACCGCCTTCGGGTTTGCTCAGAGCCTCAGGGACATGGAACCATGCCTGCCTGCCAAGCAACAAAGACTCACGTTTGTATCTATCAACGTTACTTAGTCCGCAGAACCGATGATTTCAGGAGGCATTTGAGAGCAACACAAAACGACCCCCCCAAAATGACCTATTCAGAGAAAAACATTTTTAAGTTTTTCCACATAGGCGCCCAGCAATTTAAATGATCGAATATGTACTTTAACCAAAACGAGATCAGGTGGTTGATACAAATTGTCCTGTAATCTCTTCCCTAAAGAGAACCATCTAGACCAGGGATCCTTAAACTATTTAAACAGGGGGCCAGTGCACTGTCCCTCAGACCGTTGGAGGACTGGACTATAGTTAAAAAAAAAAAATGAACAAATTCCTGTGCACACTGCACATATCTTATTTTAGTGAAAAAACAAAACGGGCAAAAACACCCGGCGGGCCGGGTAAATGCGGGACGTAGTTTGAGGACCCCTGACCCAGAGTATTGGGAATGTCCTTTCTCTGCCTTGTTGGTAATGGCTTCCTGGGCTGTCATTGTACAGGTCAGTCATCGTCTATAAAAATATACTCTCTATTATTAGGTGTTATCATTTCTATAAACCCTGCTGTGGCAAACAACTTCGTAAAAATATCTTTGGGTTCTCTGTTCAATTACCTCCCTAGGATAAATTCCTGGAAGAGGAACTATTGGGTAAAAGTGTATGTGGATAACAAAGGAATGGTTTGTGACGATATCCAATTTCCTCCCTCAAACATTATTCTAATTACCAGACGTCTGTGTGAGTGTCTTCTCTCTATTGTGAAAATGCCAGACTTGTTATTGTTAGCCTCTGATCGTAGGGAAAAAAACCGCTCTCATTGTTCTTTTACTTTGCACACCTTTATTAGTTCAAAGGGTGTGTGTGTGTCTGTGTTTTAGTGTTAATGTGTGCTTCTTCTTTTCCTGGTCTCTTATTAGCTTGTCACGCGTGTCCTTTGCACACCTTTAAAATGAGATATTGGCCTTTTCTTAATACAGGGAAGGGCCTTACACAGTCATGTTGTCAGCCTGTAGGCGATCTTGCTCCCGCCCCCCCCACCAATGTGTCCTTTTCTCTCTGTGATGTTTATGGGGCCTTCTGCAATAGAAATTTGTGATTTTATATAGTAAACTATTTTCCTGTTTTTCTTTCACCATTTTCCCCACCTCAAAAGTACATGAATACTTAGCTATATTTCTCTCCTTGTACTGTACTTTTTAGATTATGGTCTTTACCTTTAAATATCCAATCCATTTGAAAAGCACTTGCCCATGATAAAAGGCTCCCTTAATTGTCCCAACATAATTTACCAAATAAGACACTACTTTTCCCCTGGTCGAAAGGGGAGAGATGTAAAACAGAATTGCTAATTTGTGGGGATAGTCTCCCGACCTTGACCTTGGGGAACCACAGAGACTGGATGAACACCTGAAACTATTGCGTTGAGATAATCTTTAACCTTAAACATGAAGTCTTCTTTAAACCAAACAATAGTTCAGCTAGGACAGAAGGTCTGCCTAGACCAATTTGAAAACCACAACTTCAAAGATTAGATAAGAAACAAGGGGCAATCACTTCTCAGCCTTTTGGCTAAGATCAAGTGTAGTATCTGTTCTTATCCGTTTAATATCTGATACGTCCTCTATCGGAAGGCAACGTATTAAATGTATTTTTGCACCTAGAAGATGGACCAGGAGCTTGGCTTGCTCCGTCCACTCTTGCATTGACCTGGTATTGCAGTACCTCCAGGAACAGTGCACCCTCTTGGGGGTGGGGGTGGGTGGGGGGAGGGAGACTTAAGGGCAGCCAGTTGATGTCAACGGCGGAGGAACAATGTGGACAAGAAGGATGAGAGTAGTAGCTCAATTCATAGAATGCCACATCAATGTCACAGAATTATACGTGTAAAAGTTGAATTGTTGTATATTCTGTGTAGATCCTCAGTCACAGCAACAAGAACTGATACAGACCTCACTCATTAAGAGATTCAAACCCACACACACATGCACACGCAGGCCAAGGCCCCACTTTCCCACAGATTAGAAATGTCACCTCTGTCATTTCTCATTTACTAAATTCTTAAATGTTCTTGAGTTTGTTTTGGCTGAGCCATTTTGGTTGGTTGATCTGTCTGTTTACTTTGGAATGATTTCAAGCTGTTTTGTTTACGGTAGCTTTAAAGTACATTTTAAGAGCTAATAAAACTTGTCTTTCCTTTTCTCGTGTGACTTTAAAAAAAGTTATTTAGTTATTTGAACAGTTAATAAATTCATGAGCCTCAAACAATAAATGTGTAGTTTGTTTTGTTTTTTAAGTGCACATACAGTTCAAATACTTTCTCCCATTTGGGCCCCTAAATGATCCAGCTGTCATCCCTTCCAGGAGGTAATGTGATCCGTTTATTTTATTCCTCCCTAGATTTTATCACTCACATTCACTCACTCACCGTCACATCGAGTCTGTGCAGACTCATGGCGCCCCCGTGAGGCCGGGTAGAACTGCTCCTGTGGATTTCCAAGACTGTAACTCTTTATGGGAGTAGAAAGCCTGGTCTCGCTCCCTACAAGCAGTTAGTGGCTTTGAACTGCTGATTGACTACCGTTGTAGTTAGCAGCCCAATGTGTAACCACTACCCCACCGGGCTCCTCATAGATTTTATAAAATGTAGCTAAAACTCAACAAATGCATTTCATTCCTCCCCTTCTTATTGTATACAAATTGAAGCGGCCCTGCCCTTTGCTTTCCCCATTTAATGTGTCATGGTAATCCTTCCACATCGGCATACAGGGTGCTTCCCATTCCTTTTTACTCTGTCTATGGAAGCTCTGCTGGCTTTGCCCCTTTCCCACAAATTTAAACTAATGTGACTGTCCTACCTGGTCACCGTCTATTTGTCAAAACTCAGAAATTAACATGTATTATTGACTCAACTTTAGATTTTATTTGGATATCACCAGGTTTCCACTGGTATTGATTTGTTTTTGTTTTTGTTTTTTCCTGTTCTGGGATACTACATTGCATTCCACCTCCATTCATTTTTAAAGATCCATAATACTTGGCCAGTTGATTTAACCAATTCCCCATCAGTGGCCCTCTAGTTTCCAGCCATTCTTTCTACGACAGCTTGCTGCAGGCATCATTTCACTCCTGCGTCCCTCTGCTGTAGTTGCGTGCTGCCGAGTCAACGCTGGCTCACGGCAAAACAAACCTGCTATCACCGAGGCCATTCCTGCTCAGAGTGACCACAGGACAGGGTAGAACTGCCCCTCTGGATTTTTGAGAGCAGCTCTTAAGCCCCGTCTTTCTCCCGAGGAGCAGCTGGTGGTTTTGAAATGCCAACCTTATGGTTAGCAGTCCAACGCTTAACCACTGTGCCACCAGGGCCATTAGTGAGTCTAAAAGTCGTGGCAGAATATAGAGCCAAGCCTGATATTCAGCTAATGGTGGACCTCCCACCATAGGCTGGCTTCGGTGGGTCTTCTACTGGCTGGGCTTCTGTGGGCTCTCCCTCTCCCTCTCCCTCTCTCCGAAACCTGGTTTGTGATCCAAGTGAGTTGTATGAAAAGTTAGAAGCTGTTCAGATTTTACAGTACATGGAACACAAGCCAGAGTCAGTGGCACGGTTGTGGGACTGCAGCCCGGCCATGCTGCATTCTGTAGCAGCCGCTGGGAGAGAGCCACACAGCAAAACTTCTGGCTTTTCAGGAACCCCCACTGGGAGGCGTGGTCGATACTGGTCGACCCCATTGGCTGAATCAAATTCACCTGGCTTAGATGGGCCAATCCAGGTGTAACGCCCACCTAGGTATACCACCCCTTACTGACCGGAAGCTGGGACCTAACATGCCCTTGTCTCAGGCACCCAATCCAACAGTCTATGCAGTCATGGGGGTGGGGTGGGGGGCGTCCTGTGAATATCTCCTCTTTGTACCACTGATGGCAACTGCGGACCTGCTCTCCTTTTGATTCAACAAGCTCTGCCCAGAGCCTTAGCGAGCCTATAGCGCTCTCCCAATCTGGCGATTCAAGAGTGTATATGATGGTGAGTCATTTGAATAAACATCTTTCAACTGCTGCTTTGTAAGCTTTGTATACTTCTCTGAGTTGACACTTTTCTTACTGATTTCTAGAAGCTCTTTAGAACGGAGGGGTTAGCCTTTTGACTATGAGTTGACAATTTCCCACAGCTTATCATATATATATATATTTTAATATTTTTATTGGGGGCTCTTACATCTCTCATCACAATCCATACAGTCCTTCAATGAGTCATGCACATCTGCATGTATGCCACCATCATCATTTTCAAAGCATTCTCTTCCCACTTGAGCCCCTGATATCAGTTCCCCACTTCTTCCCACTCCCTCCCCCATGAACCCTTGATAAGTTATAGATTATTTGTTAATAAAAAACAAATCAGTGTTGAAGCATAATGTGGATGGATAATATTCATCTAATTTGAATGTACAATTCATTGAATTCTGACAAGTACAATACACCCATATAACTACCATGTCACTCCCACCACAGCTCTCATGTTTCTTTATCATTACTTTGTTTTCAAGTATTCTCAGAGTGTTGTCTGCCATGCAGTAGCTTTTACCTTTTGATAGTAAAATATCACTTCTGATTTTTTTGGTCATAATAAGAGCTTTCATACTCTGAGGTTTCAAGATAAAAATAATTATTATTTTACTCCTATACAGTTATGTCTTCATTTTATTAACATGTTGACCTCTGGTTTACTTGTAGTACAAGTATATGTGGCTTAACATCTGTTCTGGCAACATCGGACCACAGACATCTGTGACGCCATCGGCTTGTCCTTTTCCCTTTTGAGGGAAAGTGCTTTTCCTTTTATTCCATCAAGGAGTGGCCCTCGAGGACCAAGAAGAACTGCCAAGACTGTAGATCAGTGGCTCTCAACCTTCCTAATACCATGACCCTTTCGTACAGTTCCTCATGTGGTGGTGACCCCCAACCATAAAATGATTTTCTTTGCTACTTCATCACTGTCAGTTTGCTACTGTGATGAATCAGGCGACCCCTGTGAAAGGGTCGTTCGATCCCCAAAGGGGTCACAACCCACAGGTTGAGAACTGCTGCCATAAGTCTTTATGGAAGCTGACAGCCTCATCTTTCTCCCTCAGAGCAGCTGATGGGTTTGAACCACCAGCCTTCTCGTTAGCAGCCCTAAGGTTAACTTGTTGTGCCACCAGGGCTCCTCTTTCTTCTGGTATCCTCTCCTAATGATTTTAACAACAAGATGTCACATTGAGACCTGTAGGGCACCTGCCCTGACCTCGGGGTTCTCCCAGCATGTGAAAGCTGCAGGAGTCGGGCACACCCCAGAAGAACGGGCGCATGGGCCGTCAGCTCTGGCATTGATGGAGAGACTGCCAGAGAAGGAACCAACCCATCTTCGCAGTGCAGCCAGAATGCCCCTTGGAAGTGAGGATGGTGACACTTCCTCTCACATCCTTTGAACGTGTGGTCAGGAGGGAGCAGTCCCTGGAGAGGGGCATCGTGCTTACTCAGGTAGAGGGTCAGCAAACACGAGGAAGACCCTTTACAAAAAGGATCAATTGACACAGTGACTTCAACCGTGGGCTCGAACGTAACAAGTGTGAGCGTGGCACAGGAGAGGGCAGTGTGTTCTGTTGCACACAGCGTTGCTAACAACACTGGTTCTAAAGGTCCCAAATCCCCAGACCGAACAGGCAGCAGGGAACCAACTCCAGCCTGCCTTTCCTCTGGCTCCTACTCGGCCCTTAATTCAACCACCAGCCCAGCAGCCGTGCAGCCATGCCCTCTCAGCGCTGGACAGACCTGCCTCTGCTCTGCTCCTGCTGGCCTGCGCCTCTGGCTCTGATGGTGACCACGGGTGAACAGGAAGTGGCTTCACCAACAGGGCAGTGGCAGCCACAGCCACCACGCCAGCTGTTCTCCCAGCACCCCAGGCACCCACAAACAGATCCTGGGTCACCTCTGCACGCTTACCTCCCCTCCTCCACCCAGAAGTAGGTAAAGTCCCCATCTGGCTGTGGGCGCCACTCCCACTCAGCCAGGCTGCTCTCTTGAATCCTTTGGACATAGCACTCTGGCTCTGGGGCACTCCCATGAGGCTTTCCTATAATAGGCTTCCCTGGGATTTAACTAGGGAAGGTACAGGGACTGCATGTATATTACATGCTGTTACCACAATGCCTAAATCCCCTAACGTGCCTATTTCCCACAAATGTGGAAGGAAGTTAGCCTGCATAGCCCAAGGTAGGTGTGAGATTGGGTCTTTTGTTTTTCCCTAAGTATCTATCAATATTCATAAAAATAATATCATTTTATTTTGTGTATAACTTTGGTCTGACTTTGTATCAGCGTTCTGTCTACTTTGAGCAATAATTGAGAAGTTTTAATTTTGCTACACACTTCAAACATTTCGAAGTCTGGTGCAATTATCTATCCTTTCAAGATTTTGTAAGATTCCCTTGTAAAGCCACCTGTACCTGGTGCTTTTTGTGGGGCTTGGATCTTTGACAACTTTATTTCTCCCTGTGGAAACCAGTCTGTTTCGGGTCCTTCTTTCCAAATTACATTGTACCAATTAATTGTCCTTTCTACTCAGGATAGGCACATGTAAGCCAAACTGTCTCCTGGGGTTCTTTGTCCTCGGATTCTTTCTGTTGTCATTTTCCTACTCAATTCATAAGGACTTGGACCTTCTCTCCTCTTTGGGAGGTTAACTAACTTTTGGATTTATTCTTTCTA